AAAACTGGCAAATTTAAATTGGGGAGTTTCTTTCCACTTTAATATCCTTTCTCAAATGACAGTAAAATCCAAAGCCCTAAGGAGTTTCAAAGGTAGAACAAAGTAGCTTTCACACCCAAGATGGCCAGATACTGACCAAGAAAAAAGTTAAACCCACAGATTGCTTTTTACTTATACTAGAAACTATCTTTTTAAATTATTATTAATCAATATGAAAAAGTAACTGCTTGAGACCCTAGGCTACAATGATCTGGATTCAGGATTTTTCTATCACATCAGAGTGATAAAGGGTGTTGGTCTGTATCAGCTTCTAAAAAGGCTGCTGACACAAGAATCAGTCCTTTGTATCCATGGTGCAATCCTCATTATTGCCTCAAAGGGCAGCATTTTGCAAGTTTCCTGGTAAATATGGTTTTCCCAATTTACTAATTACTTCAGTATAGATTATACCTCAATAAAAAAAAATTAAAACTTTCCTTAACTAAACCAATAACATGATCCACGGAAGGAATACTGAAGTGGTGAAATATTCCATTTTCCTTGCATGCATAATCAATGCCCGTGGAAGCTACGGTCAAGGAATTAAATGATAAACTGTAACGTGCCCATTTGCTGTAAGATATCTTTTTAAAGTGTTAAAAAGCAAATATGTGACATAGGGGATGAAGGCACACTTGGCCCAAGCCATTGTATTTTAAACTATGCCACAACAACGCATGCAGTTTGAATCTACTCGCTTCTCAGAGGGAGAAGGATGGGCAATCTCCTCTTAAGTGATTAACTGCCTCTGAAAACCTGCTGGAGGGTCAGCTAGGGGACGTTCTGACTTGACAGTACACAACAATAACTACAATGTATATATGCAAAAGCTGGAAAATTAGTTAAGTCTTAGTGTGAACGAAGACGGGAGAAGAATAGATGTCTAGGAATCTTTGTGTTGATGAAGAATATTGACTATAGCACATGTTGTTGTTTGTTATGTGCCGTTGAGTCACTTGCGACTCACAGCGACCCTATGTACAACAGCCCTAAACCCTGCTCTGTCCTGTGCCAATAGCACTGCCTCTGACACACCCATCCCGATTACCCCAGTCACTGAATCAATCCACCTCATAGAGGGCCTTCCCCTCCTGTGCTGCCCCTCCACCC